CTTCCTGGGCGGAGAGAAAAATGACGCACAAAAAATCGCTTATGACTCTTGCTGCACACTTTCGCGACGGAATATGCCGTTTGGTAAAACATGGGGTATCAGATTGCATCAAAAGCTTCAAGGAAACACATTTATTATTGACTTTAAATGCCGTCGTCACGCATTTCATCAGATCTGCAATTGCGACAGGTCCCGCCACAAGGAACAGAGCGTAGCTACAGATTACCACAGAATGGTAGCAAATCCACGTTGTGCCCTGTAGTGGAAAAAAATAAGGCAAGGTACAATGCTGATCAAGACCTTTGGGATGCGTCACGTTTATATCGCGTTCAAAAACGCAACTGGCTTCACCTCGCATTGAACACAACCCTTCACAAATATGGTGACTTATGGAGTCTTCGACTGACATCTCGGAATTTTGCTTTTTTTACAACTTAGACGGGATATAGCACATCGCGAAGAATCGAAGGGTTCTCTCGACTCAAGCAGGGTCCAGTAGACAAGTACGTACAGGGGCCAAAAAAGCATTTTGCCAATGTCGCACTTCAGCGATCTTTTCTTCGCAGAGATTGCCGTCGTTGACGGAAGTTTCAGCAAAATATTCCCTAAATGTCCCTCTATAAGTAGACGCAGGCCCTCCTTCACTGCCCTCACCGTCTTCAGAATATGACGTCATCTGTCGTCGAGCTCAAGGAGGCCTACCGTAACTGCTTCAGCCTGAAGCTCTTACAGAATTTCTTGAATTGCTTCACTGTAGGATACGCCTTGACTGTGCAGACCCACTCGAATCCCATTCTTCAGAAGACGTCGTGATGGTACACGATCCGCCGAGAACCCCGTTGAGCTCGACCGTGCACCATGTTTCTGAGGCAGATTTTTGTGCTCCGTCCACGTAGAACCCGTGAGGTTTTGATTATAAAATGGGATGTGCTTTTCAAATCCAAGTTGGCAGCCTTCGGTTGGAATTCAGCAAAGTGTGATTGAATCCATATGAATGTAGAAACAAAATGCCTTTTTTATTCCCCCCCCCCCCACAGTATAGACGTAATCGTGGTAAGCGGAAGGCCCCGAAGCGAGGCCTCTGTCTAATAAACCACTTTCATCATCCAAATGGTAAAGTGTAAATAACAAGGTAGCCATATGAAGGCCAGCGGGATCAAGGAGTACGTGTTCGTAATGAATAGATTTGTTTGGCATTTCAGATTCAGCATGGATCGAGGGATTGCTGGTCATGTGGCGTCCACGGGTGAAGGCCTGAACATCGAAGATGCCTACGAAGACAATCGATTCAATCCCGAAATTGACTCAAAAACCGGCTACACCACCAAGACCATCCTCTGCATGCCAATTTTCATACGTGGAAGGTAAAACTCATGATAAGACCGTCTCATGCTCAACTCAACACCTGTGTAATCTTTTTGGCCAAATTTCCCAACCCTCTAATCAATTAATCTCCTATTATCCAACCAATGTAAATCTTTTTTGTCTACTTTTCTTCTAATTTTCCTAGAGTCGAAAAGCGGGCCTAGCAGTTTCGGGTAGGATAGGAAAGGAAAAGACCACAAAAATCATGAATGACACGGATTCGATTTCGCCGTCCAACATTCTTCATATTTCGGAGGTTTTAGGTATAATTCTACTAGCTCGCAGCTATAACGTGGGTTTAAGTATCAGGTATCCGGTGGAATTATGCGCGAAGAATAGAACCAATATTATAGACAAAGAGATTTTGGAGGAAATTAAGAAGACCTGGGCTCAAAAAGGCGGTAACGCCAAGAACTCTCAACGGTTACTGTAATCTCATACAGATCGCCCAGCGCTCAACACCAACACTCCTGAGAACTGACAAGAATATTAAACTATAACGCATAACCCAACAGCCCGTTGAGCAACTGACGTTACCTTCCAGAACTAGATCTTCTGTAGTGTTCTCATTTACAGTGTTATTGGTGTGGTACAGATGGTGAACAAACGTGAAGGTGTGTTCACAAAATCCGACGAGGACAGTTTCGAGATGTTCGCCGTCTATTGCGGCTTAGCACTACATCATGCGAAGCTCTACGATAAAATCCGGCGATCCGAACAGGTAAATTTGCCTAAATCTGCTGATTTGTTCTAGCCAATAATTTATTCTTTGCAGATAATATCAGGCGCGATGGCCCGCGTAGCTCTCGAAGTCTTGGCCTACCACAGCGTCTGTAACAAAGATGAAGTGGCAAAACTACAAAAGATGGAGATCAAAGATCGTGTGGAGGAATTGGAGACGTTAGTTGAAAAATAAATTAAATCGATCTGAAATCCAAAAAAGTCAATCTCATTTGATAAAGTCACGAGCTTTACAAGGGAGTAGAAATAAGTAATTAAAATACTGAACAGCCTAGAAGAACTGAAATTTTCAGGTTTGAGTTCAACTTATTTACGGATGTCTGAACTTGAAAAACCTCTCTATGCCATTGCAATGTTCAAGACACTTTTCCAAGAACAGTTGTGAGTTTTCAATGAACTTTAATATTTACTGTAGTTACAAGCTTATTATACTCAATTTCATGAATTGTTAATTAATTTAGCTCTAATAAACTGCAAAGTTATATTCCGTCATGGACGCACCCCGAGCGCAATAGGTGTCTAGAGCAACGTTCGCGGCAGACCGTGTTAAGGAATCTAACCAGTGATGGGATGGGAGTAGCCTACGAGTATCACAGACGTGCGTTGTTGCGGCTCAAAAGTGCGCGACAATGGCGCTAGGGTCTTACAAAGTCAGCATTTGGCGACTAATCTTAGCATTTGGACGAGTTACGTCGCGCACACCCCATGACACGCAACGTGGATTACGGCGTAGCGGCTAATTCAAATACGCGCGGGTTAGTTGAGCCGTGGAGCAGGCAAGTTCGTACAACTCGTCTGGCCCCGCCCCTTCCTTATTTCAAGGGGAATCCTTGTTTAGGGCTTCATCGACGGTTTTCTTTGCTTCTTTTTTCATTTTTAGTCAACTCGGCATCCACAACTCCATTATCGACCGCTGTGACCCCACAAATTGATCTGGGGGTGTTGCTTCAATATTTTCAATCCAAAGAACTCTCTAATAAGTACAGTTCAATCGCTGCACTTCTTCACTGTGGGTAGTGGCCGCAAGCAAAGAACCATTTGCTTACGATTTGCAACGGTACAGTTGTTGAGTAGGGGCGCCATGATCCATCATGGAATGGAGAACACAGGCGTATCCCGAAGGTTCATTTCGAGCAGGTTGTCCGTTAGTGAATATAGAACGCAGATTTCAGCCGATATGATCGCGATGAGCTGATTCGATTCGTATTGACGGTGAGGAAGAACTATAGACGGGTCGCCTACCACAATTGGGCTCATGGATGGTCTGTGGCACACGCAATGTTTGTACTGCTCATGCACCACACGGCTCGGGATCTCTTCACTACTCACGAGGTATTGTAATTCCACTCAAAAAGTCCTTGTGATGAATGGTATGGGGGAGCATATGCGTGCCACTTAAAAGTGCTCTGGCACTTCTTCTCTAGTGAGAGCTGCTTGCTGGTATCAGAAGCGATACAATCATTCAGGCCACACGGTGAACAAGCATTGTCAGTAGCGTTTCCCATGGCGAGCCTACGAATTATACAGGGGGGGGGGGGGGCAAAAAAAGACATTTTGCCTATGTCGCACTTCGGCCTTTTTTTCTTCGCAGAGATTGCCGTCGTTGACGGAAGTTCCTCAGCAAAATATTCCCTAAATGTCCCTCTATAAGTACACGCAGGCCCTCCTTCACTACCCTCACCGTCTTCAGAATATGACGTCATCTGTCACCGTCGTCGAGCTCAGGGAGGCCTACAGTAACTGCTTCAGCCTGAAGCTCTTACATAATTTCTTGGATCGATTCAGTGTGGATAGTTTTCCTAGGGACATTAGCTCTAACTATGCAAACTCCCTCGGAACCCGCCCTTCGGAACCCGTCGTAACGGTACACGATCAGTCGAGAACCCCACTGAGCTCGACCAGAGCACCATGTTTCCGGGCAAAATTTTCCTGACAGATAGTGGCCACTACGTAAGGTTTTGCTTATAAATGAAATGTGCGCTCTTTTCTAAAGTGAGAGCACTCGCCACTTCGAGCAGCGCACCTCTTTTTTTATTGCCCCCCACCTTCGTATATTGGACTAGGGCGAAATAAGCGTCAGGATGGACTGGACATGAGAAAGTATTTAATCAACCCTACGAATGAACAGCACACAAGCCGCCATTCTGATGAAGTTCTTCACCCCTGTCTTCTTTCACAATCTAACTTTGTTGGGACATTTCAGGTACACCTTCAAGCTTGTTGCCAATCTATTGGATATGTACTGCTTTCAACGCCCACGTTTGTTTGAAAGTAGGTGATTACATCCACATGTCAATGACAATTCACGATAATAACCACAGCAGGTGCTCTGAGCTTGTAGTCCTGTCTACTGGCACGAAATCTGGTAATCATCGTTGGAAAGATGACGCCTACATGAAATCGATGATGCACACCGTTGGCCAGCATCTATACGACGTCCGTTATGGAGCATCACCATTTCAATCAAACCGTCACTATCCTACAGCAGGTTCGTTCGAATTGCAGGGCTAGAAGGCAAACATAGAGCAATGCGAAAAAAAGCGCGTTTTCAACCAACCATCTTTATGTCTCGACCCATTGTTAGTCACGTCTTGCAGCTAAACGTCTGGGATGACCGCCTTCCTACCAAAATTACACCCTCGAGAGCGGTCAAAATAAATTACATACATCCAACTTCGTCTCCCAAAACTTCATTCCGTGCGGGGTACACATAAATACGGATTCCCAGGAGCTCTCTAGGCCTCCTCAGAACTTTACCCTAGTCACAAAATTTATCTCCCCTTATCTTCCGAAAGCACGAACGAAATTACAAAATGCAGCCTTTCGTCTGACTTGGTCAAGGGGACGGTTCACCCTGTTTCTGACACCTTTCCTGGAAGGAGGAGTGCACTACAGGTCCATATGCCGATTTTGATGCTTATTTTGAATCTGCCAATCTTTTCAGGATGGTCACAACATTCTGAAATCAATGACGTCAAGTGAGTACAAACAAGCTCTGTCGCTCATCAAACACTGTATTCTGGCCACGGATCTCGCGTTATTTTTCACAAATAAGGCTGAGTTGAATAAAATTGTCGACTCTGGCAAGTATGACATCAACGACGATAATCATAGGTGAGTTGCAATTTTACTATTGATGTTGAAAAACCGAAGGAGAGGGGAGGAATTAGGCCCATCAACTGCACTAAAGAGGGTCTGTAGTAATTTTGAAAGCTTTTTATGACCTTCCGATCGGGTTCAGTCTGGACTACCTACAAAATTGGCTTACACTTTCGATCAAAAGGCACGTTCGATAATAATTCCTTAGATGGAGTCATTGAAGGTATAGGTGCAAGGGGGATCCCCGCCTAAGGGAAAAAAGAAATGAACCGGCGAACGCAATGGACATAAGGGCCTTTTCGAGAGGTGGACGAGTTTACAAAGAGGCACGTGAGGAGTAAGAACATAGGAACAAACGAGATATAGGGGGCAACGCATCTTCATCGGTACGCGGGCATCCAAGCAAGTTACAAGTCGGGTCGCCCTCGCCACGCGATTCTCAGTTGCCAGAGCGCCCCTACCCTGTGCTGCAGACCTGGCATCATACCACAGTTGAAAAAGAGAGACTTGGCCCCAAGAAGTCCAGGAGGCTGGGAAAAAGGGAGTAGAGGTCGGCGAAGGAAAGGAGGTCAAATGCTATTAGTGGGTAGAGCACGCACCCAAGTGGGCGGAGTTTGCCAAAAGTATCGCAATTCGGTTGCAAGAGGTCCTAGAGATAGGGGAAAACGGGGTTAGAGGTTGGTGAGGGAAAAGAGCTCAACTGCTATCACTGGGTAGAGCACGCACCTAAGTGGGCGGAGTTTGCCAAAAGTGTCGTAATTTGGTTCCAAGAGGTCCCAGAGACCGGTGAAAAAGGGGGTAGAGGTCGGCGAAAAGAAGGGAGCCAAATGCTATTGGTCGGCAGGGCACGCACCGAAGTAGACGGAGTTCGCCACGAGATTTATTGTCCGGGCCGAGGACCGAGAAAAATAGGATAATGGTTGACGAAGAAAGAGCGCATAGAATTTAGCGGAGAACTTCAGATATTTGTATTGTATCAAGCCAAATTTGAAATTTT